CGGGTGCAGGACTGCGGGCGGCTGCTGACGAGAGACAGACATGCAGGCTGAGGGGCAGGTAGGTGGTGAACACCTGTGACCGTTTTGACAACTAGGGACCCTGAGTCTTTGCTCACGGAGTTTCAATTATTTCACCTGAAAAGAAGTCAGCTACAGAAATGTCTTTAGAACGTCCTGAGAACAGACGTAAGGCGACATTTTCACTGTCACAGAAGCGGTGCCGTTGGGCATTGCCAGGAGCCCCGAGTTGACCATGAGCACTGGACTTTGAAGATGCCCCCTGGTCATAAAGCAGCCAGCTGGGCAGCTGTCCTCCTGTGACCGTGCGGACCCTCCAGTGCAGCCCTGGGAGGAGGGGGGGAGTGGGCGGAGCGGGGGTGCAGGGACCTGGAGGGCAGGTGGCCTGAGCCCTGGAGACCAGCCCTGGAAGCTGGGCCGAGCCCAGCTCTGCAGACCTCAGGACGTCCGCGAGTCCTTTCCGCGGTGGCTCCGGGGTAGGTCCTGAGCGCTCGTCAAAGCCCCCGCAGCCCAGGCACTGACTCACTGTTCCTTACAGCCAGGACCCCGAAGGTTGACGAGGGGGTCATGGAGCAGTTCAGAGCAGCCCTGAATCTTCAGCCTATGAACATCTGGCTCCGCTTCACCCCAACCCAGGCGAAAGGTGACCCCCGCCCCCCCAGGCCTCAGGGCTCCACTTCACTCTGCTCAGTCAGGGAGCCCTGGGCACTGGGAATGCCTTTCTTCCAGGGGGTCTGGTCTCCCCCTTCACCCCAGGCCTCCCAGGAAGCAGTGGGAGGTGGGGGTGCAGGACCCCTGAGGTGGGGTAACTCCAGCAGGCTGCCCTGGGTTTGGGGTCAGCCACGGTTGACCTGTGACCTCCCTCTGTTCCCCCTCCTCCTGCAGAGAGGTGCCTCGTTTAGGTGAGCTCCAGCCGACAGCCTCCTGGGTAACGTGCCGGACCTGCCCTCATGTCCTGAGCACAGGTGTGGGGGTCTCAGTGGGGCCCCCAACTCCCTTCCATCAGGCCCTGCTCCCCCTTGGGGTGCTGCTGGACGTTGCTCCTCCTGGGACCCAGGCACCTCTGTTCCAGCTTGGGATGTGCTGCTCTGAGCTGTTCCCCTTCAGCAATAAAGAAATGCACCAGTGAGCCTGGCTGCTGAGTCTTTCCTGGCAATGGGTGTGGGATGGAGCCAGTGAGCGGCTCAGGGGGATGAGAAGGGGCCAGGTCTCCTGTGCTGGGTCCCCTGAGGCTAGCAGATGACAGTGATCATCACATGTGAGTCATACGGTTACAGCCCAGCTCAGAACACCCAGGCACCCACCATTCTGCCCACCCAACCTGGTCTCTCGCCAGGACTCACTGCCAAGACACTCAGATTATGGGCTCCCTACAGGATGAGGAAGGCCCGTAGGTGCGTGCGGTGGGGGCTGTCATCTGAGCCCTCAGAACCCACGCTGGCTGCCCGCAGGGACCAGCCTAGGTGAGGGCTCTAAGTGGTCGTTCTGCAGCCTGACTGATAGTGGAGATGCTCTCAGGAGCTGGTCCGTCCCCCTTGCCATGGGTGCTAATGGATCCCAGAGAGGCAAGGCCAGGTGGTACTTTACCCTTGAACACAGCTGGTGTTATGGTGGCCAGAAAGCCTGCCCAGTGGGTGTGGCTGACAGTCCCAGGGGCTCCCAGGGCAAGAGAGGTGGTGGCCATAGGAAGGGGCACCAGTGTGCTGACTGCCACCCTAAGGTTTGTGTGGCGTTTGCTCCCCACTGTAAGACAGGGGTCTTCTCCTTTCTGTCCCTGGAGGATGGATGGACGCCCCAGGAAAAACACAGGCAGGAGCTGAGGCCTGTGGGAGGGCAGACGTGCCTCGTGTTCTCCCCTCGCCTCCCATGGTCTCCCAGGACTGACGTGCGATGTGGCTAAACTGCCCCGACAGCCTCTGGCCAACCACGCCCTACACACCCTTTAGACACAGGCAGGCAGCGTCATTCCTGTGGGAACGATTCTGGAATTTTCAGGGTGCCTGGGAGGGTCAGCTGGGGTGGCCCGGGCAGTGGCCACCGGAGGATGCATGTGAAGAAGGGGTGCGGGCTGCCTGGCCTGTCCTCCCTCTGGGCCCCCGAGGTCATGGCCGGGGAGAGAGGGCCACTCCTGCTGCTCACCCTCAGCCTGGGCCTGGCCAGTGCCCAGAAGACTCTAGAAGAAGTGCCGGTGCAGTCAGGCTTTGATGCCCAGAAGGTAACTGCCGCTCGGGTCCCAGACTTGGCCCTGAGACAGGGCCATGGGTGCATGTGTCACCTGGAAGGCTGTGCTCAAGGGCAGCGGGCAGGACACAAAGGGGAAGGGGCAGGTGAGGGGTGAGGGGCAGCCTCCCTGGGTGCTCCTTGGGGCAGCTGTTCTGCCCAGGCAGGAGTGGGGGGTGTCTTCTTCCTGCACAGCCTGCCACTGGCTCTGGGCAAGCAGGGACCCCGCCTGCCCTCACCCATCACTGTGGGGGACGTGGATGGTGCAGGGGCCTGACAGCCAAGACTGGAGGCTTTGGGCGCCACACAGCACAGGACCCTCACCTACCCCTCCAACCTGCATCCCTGCAGGTGGAGGGACGCTGGCTGACCATCCAGCTGGCCACCAGCCACACACACCTGGTCTCCCCAGAAGACCCCTTGAGGCTCGCTCTCCATTCCATCTGGACTCGGGACAGGGACCTGGAGTTTGTCTTGTTCTGGACGTAAGCATGGCTGTGCCGCTCCTGGCAGGTGCTCATGCTCAGGGGCCTCCCAAGAGACAGTGACCAGCGGTTAGAACCAGAGACCAGAGGGGCCCATGGCATGGAGCTGGGGCTCGAGACGCTGGCCTGAGGGGTCTGAGGCTCTAAAGCTTTATGACGAAGGGCCGACGGGAAGACACTCGCCCAGCTGGGTCCTTCCTGCCATTCAGCTGGGGGTCCTGGCAGGGCTGTGCTGAACTCAGTGATACTTAGAACAGTGTGTAAACACAGCCCCAGAGGCCGCCATGGCCACATCCTTGCTGATGCTCAGCTAGAGACACCAGAGCCTGTTGGCACACACAGCCCACTCCTCACCCACCCCAGATGGGAAACTAAAGGACCCAGGGTGGGGGACACGGGGTGAGGCCAAAAGGCGTAGTCTGTGCATGGAGCCCAGGTGACTGGGGACACCAGGACTAGGTCCCCCACCCCGAGACCTGCAGCTCTGAGCCAAGGACAGACTGGGTCCAACCCCTTCTGGGAGGTCTGGCTCCATCCCGGACATGAGGAAGCCCCCGTTCCTCATTCTAGCCCCTCCCAGCCCCCATGGGCCCACTGTCCTCTCCTGGCTGGGTGACCCTCCAGAGCCTGGAGAGCCGAGAGCCTCAGGCAGACACGAGGGACCTCAGCAGGGGCAGAGTCTGAGCTGGCACCATGCCGGGGGCCGGGGGCCAGGGAGAGGCAAGAAGGTGACCATGTGTAAGCTCTTTTCTTTATCCTCAGAGGAGAGGGTGTGTGCAAAGGCGTCAACATCACCGTCCATCCAACTGGGCTCCAGGGCCAGTACCAGGGCTCCTGTGAGTAGTCCAGCCCTCTGGCCTGGGTCCCACGCTGCAGGTGGAGGGGCAGGGGGTGGGCGCTTAATGCCCTAAATGGCCCTGGAGGAAGTATTGGTGCTGGAAGGAGAGGTCCTCCCAGTGTCAATGTGCTGCTCACAGGGCGGGTCTGGGCTTGGGGGGTGGAGGACAGAGGCATCACCTGTCACCACCTGGGGTCTGTCCCCCACAGTTGAGGGAGGTGGCAGCATGTTCATCCGCTTTGTCAGCACCGACTACAGAAGCCTCATTCTTTATGTCTGGTTCGAGGACGCCGGTGAGGTCACCAGCCTTTTGGCGCTGCTGGGTAGGTGGTGGCTGACCCTAACGCCGGACACCCCCCATATCTTCCCAAGACACGTGTTTAGTGCCTGTTGCCCTGAGGGTGGGGCACCAGCCAGGCCTGCTCAGAGCTGCACCACCATGCCCCTCTGCCGGGCACCCGCCATTCAAGCGCTCGCCCACGCACACACGCTCGCCTCATCTCTTGCTTGTCCCTGCTGTGTGCTGGGTGTGCCCTGGGAGCTTGGATTCTCTGTGGACAAATCAAAACAGCTCTCCTTGTCTTCCACGGGGGGAGACAGCCCATTCCATGATGAACCACATAACAATCCCTGAGTCACAGCGGGAGGGAGTGGTGGGGCACACTGTCCTGAAGACTAGACGGATGTGAGAGGTGCTGGGGGCCTCTGGAGATGGGGGGGGGACAGCCAGAGCCTGAGCCCGGCTGGGGGCCACAGCACCAGAGTTCTGGGTGGCTGAGAAGGGTCAGGGGAAGGGGATGTGGGTGGGGTGAGGGTGGGGGTACCATGTCACGCAGGTAATCCTGCATATGAAGCCAGGGCCCTCTGGGGGTCCTTGCCTGAGGGGATAGGGCCTCACTTGTCCCTTCCAGGAGCGCTGAGCCCATTCTGCTTCTCAAGCACGCTAGGCGGGCCAGGGGGCTAGGTCTGCTGGGCAGCAGGTCGGGCCTGGCAGGGAGCCAGGACTAGGGGACACGCCTGACAAAAGCCTCCGGGGTCTCAGCCCCCTCGTCACCAGTCCCTCTGATTTCAGCCAGAAGAGTGTTTGGGGACCCCAAGTGGCTGGGGAAATACCAGAAGTACATCAGGGAATTCCAGCTGCAGGAAGCCCCGGCGTTCAACCTGGACGGTAAGCACGGCCTGCCCGCCTCTCCCCTGTGCAGAGCCCCCAGTAGCCATAACCAAGGGCCAGAGCACTTAAAGGCGCGGCCAGCCTCTGTGGGGCACCTGGTACGGTCAGGCGTGTGCCGGGCACCTCAGCTGCCAGCGCTCACAGAGACCCTGTAACATGGTGACGTGTGCACAGACGCGTCTACATTCTATGGATGTGGACACCGAGGCTCAGGAAGGTTCAGAAACAAGGTTGAGGTCACACAGCCGGGAAGAGGAGCTGGGGGCACTGGCCTCTCCCCTGCAGCCCCGCCCCCAGGCATCATTCGGTCGATCAACAAACACACAGGCCAGGCCGTTCTGGGAGCTTGGGATGCATGTGAACAAGAGAGGTACATTCTCTACCCGCGTGCAGGTTTCACGGGGACACCAGTTCCGTCGTTAATTTGTTAGGGACAAGTGCTGAGGGGATGTGGGGTGGGGGACCAGGCTGAGCTTTGGGTGGGACAAGGGACCAGGGGCAGGCCAGGGAGGCTGCCTGGAGGAGGGAACCGTGTGGGCTTGTGGCAGGAGCACTGGGAGCATGAAGGAGAGTCTTGTGGGTCATTGAGAGGGCATAGGGGTCATGACAGGACGTGAGCTGCCATTAGGGGTGCTGGACAGCAGGTGGCAAGGTGACCCCAGTGAGGGGCAGGGGTTGTGGGCTGTGTTTGATTCATTTCAAAAGGAAGGGACGAAGGCCTTAGACTCCCCACCTTGTTCTCTTCCTCCGCAGCCCAGTGCTCCCCACCCACAGCCTACGCCAGGGCCAACTCCTGAGTCTTCCTGCGGGGCCCCTCCTGCCACGCGGCCCTAGCCTCCCTCCCACTCACCCAGGTGTCTTCCCACCCCCTCTGCCACCCAAGGACGCCCTTCCAGACTGGCCAAGCCCCACCTTTTCTTTGTCCCTCACTGGGATACCAGGTCCTGCCTGCCAGCAACTAAGAGGCCCACAGCCTCTCCCAGCCTGGCCCACGGGCCTGAGGACACTCTGGATGGTGCCGAGGGGGTAGGTGGCCTGCAGCTCCTGGCCGCAGTGCACACAGCATTGCAGTCCAGCAGATGGGGCCACATGAGGTGTCCTTCAGGGAAGGTGCCCGTGTGAGGGGCCGGGCTGGCATCCTCTGACCTGCCTCCACCTGGGTCCTGCTCTGGGGCCGTCCCCGCCCAGGTCAGAGGGGCACTGAGTGACCGCAGAGCCAGCACCTGCTTCCCAGAAGGGCCAGGTAAACGACAGGTGAGCTGAGACAGGTCACCGCCCTCTCCTGAGCCTCAGGGCCCTATGAGGGTGGTGCCTGGACGGAAGGCCACCCACCGGCCGGGCAGGCTCTTAGGAATCTGGGTCAATGGCCTCAATACTATGCCTGGAAATGCCAGGGAGACAGGTATAACCAGCACCTGTTCCAGAAACGCCTCGACAGTGCGGCTTCCACCACGGCCAGCTCCAGGTCAGCACGACGGTGGGAACCAGTCGGCCACCTGTGTGGGGTCCACCTGCGGCTCACGCAAAAGCTGGTGATGAACATATGCGCAAAGCGTGCAGCTTCCTACTAACCAACAAACCCAAGAGCAAAAGTGGGATGGATGCATCATGGTTTCAGAGCACATGCTCAGACACTGAGCAGGAAATCTGCAGAATTTCGGCGGGGAACTTTTTTTTAAATCTTTACTCCAGGTCATAGAAAAAATGACTTGAATAAATAGATATGAGATATTCCTGTGTGGTTGTCAACGTTGTAAATATTTAATAATCTTCAAATTAACCTGTACATTTCAAGCACCTAAGTCAGTATTCCATTGGGGTATTTTCCCCAAACCGTGAACCTGAATCTAAAATCCATGTGAAGGGATAAGAGTTCTGAAATGTTTTAGAGAGAAGAGCATGAAAATTGATCAACCACTGCACACAACTGACATCAGACCACAATGACTAAAATTGTGTGGCCTTAGCTCAGGTGACAGAAAGAAAGATAAGTGAAACCAGATATAAAGTCAAGAAGTGAACACAAGCTAGCATAATAACGTGATATGTTGTACAAATGGCCCATCTTCAAAAACATTATTTATTCAACACTAGTGTTGACGAAAATGGCGGAGATACTTGGAGGAAAAAAATAAGGCTAGACATCTAACTCTTCAGTATCTCAAAATTAATTCCTGGTTCATTCTGAATCAAAAGAAACCTTGAAAGTTCTACAATATCTGTAAGTTGGGGAGGGGATGGCTACACAAGGGATGGAAAGACCAAGGGGAAAGACGGTCATTTTGAAACGTTAAACTTTAGTACATCAAAAACATCCTCAACAAAATTAACATACACGCGACAACTTGAAATTAATGTTTTCAACAAATGTGACGGTGTTCCTATCACATCTGTGAGTATGTATAGTAACTTTCCACTAATGTCGTCGATAAGCTATGTGAACCGAGGTCCGACGGCACCCACTTACTTCGACTAACTGCCACAGTTGAGGGTAAGCTCCTGGGCATCTCACCAAGGCCATCCGGAAACCACGCTGAACGGAACGTTACTCAAGGACCCGCTGTATGTCCCAACACCGGAGGACGAAAAGGGCCACTGTTAGCAAAGTGAACCCGACAGGTCATTCGCACATACACACATCAAAGGCAGATAAAGGTAGTTGAAAAGAAAGTTTGACCTCATAAGTAATCCAAGGAAAGAGATGCTATTTTTGCTTTCTAATGGACAAAGTCAAAATCTTAAAAAGAAAAAAAAAGCAAACAAAAAACCTACCTCAATCAGTGCCCACTGTGTGGGGACACGTGCTCTGGCCGGGACAGGCGGGAGCTGGAAAGGACATTCGGGTGACCTGAAAACGGGCCTGTTCTTGAACCTGGGAACTGTCGAATTCACGAGCTTACCTGTTTTCCTTCCCAAGATCATCTTTCCTGTCGATCCGTGCTTTTTTTAAGGTACAATTTCAGAACCGCTCTCAACAAGTGTCAGCCTTATCCATAAACTGTCAGGAAAAAGTTGTCTGTTTCAGTGCAGCACTGGACAAGTCGCCCTCCTCTCGCCGGGCCCGACCTGAGGTCACTGTGGATGTAGGGCTTGTGGCGAAGGGGACATCTGTTTTCTCTGTTTTGAGAGCTTTGTAGGTCTTTTTAAACGTCGAGAGCTACTCTGTGACACCAGAAGGAACGAGTCCCAGAAAACAGCGTCGTCGTTCAGTCAGAGGAGACCCGGCGAGACAAAGCTGCACCCTGACAAGTACGAGTTCTAAGAAGGTCTTCGCGGTGACGTGCACCAGGAGAGGGGGTGGTGGCATTACACGAATGGAAGGGACAGCAGGTCTCAGCATAAACCAGTGGGTAGCACGTTCTCAGCCCTAGCTTCTGTCCCATGATGTCATTGCCAACGTTCCTGACAATTTCAGTCTTAGCTGTCATGACTGCTGGGATGCTCACTGTATGAGGCTGTCTGGCCACCATGGCTTAAACCACAGGTCCACGTCTCACGTCTGGAGGCTGGGAGTCCGAGGTGCAGGTGTGGGCAGGGCCGGGTCCTGCCGCAGCCCCTCCCCTGGGCCTATAGACAGCCGTCTCCTCCCCGTGTCCCCACAGCTTCCCTCTCTGCGTGCCTGTGTCCACATCTCCTCGTATAAGTTCACCAGTCCTAGGTTCAGGGCCCACCCTAGTGACCTCATGCCACCTTAATCACCTAGAAAGACCCCATCTCCAAATATTGCCACATTCATACAGCCATGTGCGGGGGCTGGGGTGTCCACATATGAATTTGAGGGGACACAATTCGGGCCACACACTTACTAAACTGGTTTTCACGCCATAAAAGAGGGCTAAGAAGAGCACTTCGTTGTAAGTTTGGGCCTTCCAGCCCTCACATGGGCTCTGTAACCCGTCACTCTCATCAACCTCCATGGCGCCCCCGACTGCCCACGTCCTCGTCACTTCTGAACTTGCAAAAGAAATGCCGCCAACAGTCTCCCCTGCCCTGCCATGCCACGGGCTGCTTAAGGGCACAGCTAGGTTTTGAACTGTCTCCATCCCTCAGGGCACCTGCAGTGTGCCTCACCACGGGGCTCGGTACATGCCTCTCCTTAAAAAAATACATAAAACGCCTAGAGCTTTAAAAAACTGAACTGGAGAGCTCTCTTTGTAACAATGAAAGAAAGACATGGCCGCCCATGTCTGGGCACACACTGCACAGAGTGAGGCTTTGGGAGGGTTAGACTCAGCGATAAATCCCCGAACCTGAGGAACGTCACGAGTGAGCTGATGAATGTTTCTTCTTTTCCTTCACCTACAATCCTTTGCCCTTTGGTATATATGATTTTTTTTTTCTGAAATAGTGTCTCTCTCCATTAAAAGAATTTATTTAATGCCTCCAGAATTATTTCCAGGCTGCCTGCAGCATACGGGCATTAACACCACTGTGCGTGAAACACTAAATAGTCACCCTTTTATTCTTCGTCTGGCATTGGCCACATTGGACGGTTTAGCAGTGTAAGGACAAGATTCCCACCCCCGGATGGACGCAAACTTTCCAGTATGAGGACTGGCAAGTCTTGCGACGTCCTGCTCTGCAAGGGCTGCGAGGCTCCTGGCCCCGCTGAGGCAAGGGGCTCCGGGTTACAGCGCCCTCCTGGTGAGCCGTAGCACCTTGATGGTCTGAACCTGTTGGGGCGGGTGGAACGCGGTGTCCCAGCTGTATTCCGGTGACAGCAGCCTGGAGGGCTTGTGCAGGAAGAAATACTTGTTCAGGTGGCTTTCATAGGTGCTGTTCAGCCCGTGTATGGCGTCCTGAGTCACTCCTTTCAGATAGTCTTGGATGAGTTTTAAAACCTGCAGAGGCGTGCCACCGACAATCTCACCGTCATAAAAGAAATCCCCCCATCCAAAGGGGATGCAGGCTGCGGATTGGGGCCGCCTCTCGTAAGGGACATTCTCGGTATCTTTGAAGTACCACCAGGCATGGAGCTGGGCCACAGACATGCCCAGGGTCTCCACGCCGAAGTCGCCCTGGAAGACGTGCTCGACTGTCATGCTGAACAGGAAGTCGACCTCGTCCTGGATGTGGCTGATGATGTGCTCACCTAAGGTCATCATGCGCACAAGGTCGCGGTCGTGCCACCAGCTGTCGTCTTCGATGGTCAGCACCTGGAACGTCCGAAGAGGGTCTGGCTGCACGTCCGGCAGGCCGTAGGGGTCCTCCATCATGATGTAGAAGACAACCCGGTACCCGGCCATAAAGTGCTTATTCGCTGACTGTAAGAACAGCTCAAGGTACTGGTCTGCCGTCCTGCAAAACATGCACACACGGGGCCCTCTTACTGTCCCGGATGGCTTCCGGAGAACATGTGTCATCATGCGTGTTGTCTGACATGTGATGCTGAAGGTGCAGGGGGTGGAGGTCTGAGGAAAGCCTTTGGAGGTTTGGAACAACTGTTGGAAAGAGAGAGAACTAGTGCCAAATGGATGTGAGTTAAAAGACACGACCCAGCTAAGGATGGGGAGACAGCCAGGTCACACATCCTGCACCGGGTGGCCGGAAGCAGTGGTCCCAGGTGCCACAAGCAGCGTTTCGGAGGCGGGAGGGCCATGGGTGCTCACTGCGTTTCTCCCAAACCAAAAAAGCAGAGGTAGCACCCCTACCTGCCTGCAGCAAAGACCGCCAAGCCCACAGTGAGGTTCCGCTGTCTGTAATGGCTCCGCAGGGCCTGTCTATTGAAAGTGCCTTCCCATATGATCGGCGCCCGCCAGTATGTGGTCGCTATGACGTCAGGGCGTTTTCTGTCAAACAAACCAGAAACCAGTGACGCTGGCCCCGCCTCGGCTGTGACCGCAGCACAGGCTCCCGAGGCACAGCCACTTGCAGAGCACGTGCCATGCACCCAGCACTGTGTCTGAGGGCCCTGTGTGCCCGGCACCATCACGGTCCTGTCCTCCACGCGGGGAAACTGAGGCACAGGCTGGTCGAGCGACTTGCCCAATACTACAGAGTTAACCCAGGCGAGCCAGGGTGTGAGATGCGGCCAGTTTCTGCTTCCATCACCACCCCACCTGCCTTTTGAATCCAGAGCCTTCCTTCTTTGAGGTCTCACTGCATCTTAAACGTAGGCTCAGAGTCAGAGCATCCTCGGGTTACTGCCTTGCAGCCAGCACTGTGGGCACAGGAGCACTGCCACCCTGCAGGTCCTGTGTTTGTACTTCCTCATTTTCCCTTCTCTCCCTCTCCTTTCCTATAAGGTCTAGGGGATGCTTTTTTTCTTCTTCTTCCCCTCATGATTGCAGTCCCTCTGCGCCATCCAGCAGACATGAAAAGGTCACTCCAAAAAGGGACAGAGACATCCGGTTGGCTTTTGATAACAAAATAAGGACAGCATTTAAGATACGCAAAGCTGGCTCAACATCAGAAAAGCATTCAGGCCAACCCACCATATCAAGAAGCTACAGACAGCCGGGTGCCTGAATCAACTGACAGAGAAAAAAAGCATCATACAAAGTCCAACACCCATTTATGATAAAAAAAGAAAAACTCTCTTGGGGCCGACGGAGTGGCTCAGTTGGTTAAGAGCTTGCTCAAGAGTGTGAGCCCGGCCCGAGCTGAGCTGCTGCTGAGCTGCCAACAGGTGGCAGGATGGCTCAGCTAAAAAAAAGAAAGAAAGGAGAGAGAGAGAGAGAGAGAGAGAGAGAGAGAGAGAGAGNTTGGACTCAGATAGAGAAGGCCTCTCATTGTCCCGGTCGAGGAAGCCACCAGGGGCTGAGGAAGAGCCACGGGGATTCTGGGAAGCGAGTGGAGGGGCCCCGGCCCGCCGTCCTCCTATATAAGCCCCGGGCCCCCTGCCTCAGCCTCGTGCCTCAGCCTCCCTCACTCCTGGAGCTCAGAAATACGTCCACAGCTGCAGCCATGAAGTGCCTCTTGCTTGCCCTGAGCGTGGCCCTCGTGTGTGGCACCCAGGCCAAGTTTATCCCCCGGACCACCCCGGAGGACCTAGACGTCCAGAAGGTTTGGGGAGAGGGAGCTTTGCAGGGGGGTGCCTGGGGTGGGTGATGAGCTGCAGGCAGACGGGAAGCCGGGGCCTCAGAGCACAGAGGAGGCTGTGGTGTCAGGGGTCTGCGTGAGGTCGCTGGGGTGGCCATGGCAAATCTCCATGGACGGGGCGAGGGGGGCGGGGTCTTACACAACACACATTATTGTCCCTCATCCTGGAGACTGGGAGTCCGAGGGCCAGGTGTGGGCAGGGCTGGTTCCTCCCGCGGTCCCTCTCCGGGGCTTGTAGACGGCCATGTCTATCTCCCTGTGTCGCCGTACGGCCTTTTCTCTGCACGCTTCTGTGTCCTCATCTCCTCTTATAAGGTCACAGAGCCCAAGCTAGAGAGCTCACTCTACCTCCATCACCTCTTTAAAGAACCATCTCCAAATAGTCATGTTCTGAGGTGCTAGCGGTCAGGATTTCAACCTATGAATTTGGGGGGACACAATTCAGCTCCTAACAAGGCCCCCGTGCCCCCGACTTTTTTCATCTCCAACCACATGTCTCCCCAAGATCCAAGCGCTCCCCATTGACTCATGCAGGTGGGCTCCCAAAGGTCCTTGCTTGGGCTCAGATGGGGTAGCCAGAACACGGCTCAGCTCAGCAGAGGAGGGTCCCAGGGCTGGCCCAGGCAGGGGTCAGGGCGCCCCGAGAACCCTCCCCGCCGCAGCTCATGCACCCCCCACCCCCAGGTGGCTGGGACGTGGTACTCCGTGGCCATGGCGGCCAGCGATATCTCCCTGCTGAACACTCAGAGCGCCCCTCTGAGAGTGTACGTCAAGGAGCTGAGACTCATCCCCAAGGACAGCCTGGAGATTGTCCTGAACAGATGGTGGGTGTCCCGGGCTAAACCCCGACGGCCTGGCTCCAGGGCGGGGGGTGGGCAGGGCTCCTGATGGGAGCTGGCTCTTCTGTGGGCAGCACGGTGCCCCAGGGTAGGGAGCAGGGCTGGGAGATTCTGGGTCCACAGTGCCCCTGACCATGGCCGATGGCACTCCCAGCCCCTTTCCTCTGCCTCCATCTGACGACTCGTGGTCCTGTCCTGTCCAACCTGCTCTCCTGTGGCTGTGAAGGGTTACAGTGAGTGCAGCCTGGGCCGGTCCCAGCCCCGGGGGCCCAGACGCCCTCTCTCCTGGGAACCCCCACGGAGCCAGTGGCTCTGCCCGCCCCTTGGTTTGGCTTTGTCACAACAGAGTCTTCAAGGGGTCTCACGGGGACCAATGTCTTCCAGGGAGGATGGCAGCTGTGTCGACAGGAAGATCTTGGCAGAGAAAACTGAGGTTCCGGCCGAGTTCAAGATCAACTGTACGTGCTGGCTCTGTGCCAATGCTCCCCCGGGCCCTGGGGGGTGGTGGCGGTGCTGGCACTGTCACCAACACCAGCTTTCACTGCCCTGCTGCTCCACCCTTAGGTGACCACAGGCAGATACCCGCTGGGCTGGCCTCACTCCCCGAGGTGCCAAGGCTACGTGTGTGCCCTCTCTCTAGAGAGGGCGTGTCTTGTCCCTCCCCTGAGCTCAGGTAGCTCCTGTGTGTGCCCACCCCCTGCCCTGTCCTCCCAGGCCACCTGGGTGTAGCTGAGAGCCACTGCCAGGGCACCGCAGCCAGTCACGTAGGTTCCTCCATCGCCCAGGCTTGGGGTTCATCTGGTCCTCAGCTCATTTCTCACTAAATCCAAGACAGAAAAGGCCATGGGTGGGGGAGCTTCCACTAGGGCTGTCCCCCCACCGGGCCGCCAGGGCCAAGTCCTGCCTTCCCTTCCCTCGGCCGGACCGCCAGATGACTTTGACTTGAGGCTACACAATGACCACCGACCGATGCCGGGCAGCTGCCCAGGGGCTCCAGGGGCTCCGGCAGCATCCACCCGCAGTGGGGTCCAGACACTGGCCCGACCTTGGAAGCCACTCAGGAGCCTACCGCGCCCGGTGGCGCCGCTGACTGCCGTTGCACCAGCCCCATGTCGCTCGCTCCCTGTGCCCCTCAGTTAGGACCGTGTCTTAGGACCGTGTCTTAGGTCCTCTTCTCCCTCACTCGGTGGTGCCCAGTCTCACCCGAGATCAGCATGAAACCCCATTTCTTAACCACTCTGGGTCCCAGGACACGGGGATGTGGCGGGACGTCTCGGATTGAGTCCCAAAGGTGACGGATGTCTCAGGTGGGGATCACAGTGAATGGCGAGAGCCCACTGGAGGGGACAGTCATGCAGGATCGCTCCCCACCCAGTCCTTGCCAGGGGGCCGAACACCAAAGCTGACCAGCACTCCCCTCCTGCTGGACAGAAGCGCCCAGACTTATCTTGCCCCGTCTGGTCTCCCTTCCAGACCCGGAGGGGAGCAAACTCCACGTGCTGGACACTGACTACAAGAACTACATGTTCGTGTGCGTGGAGAACGCCGTTGCCCCAGGGCAGGGCCTGGTCTGCCAGTACCTGGGTACGCGCCCGGCG